GCAGCGGTCACTGTATTGCCCTCAAAACGTTCACGGTTGTTGTAGCAGCTCATTTTTTCAATGTTAGAAGCACTCCGTAATAAGAGCATTTCCAAAGTAGAAGGGGATTTCGCTTTTGGGCTAGCACAAACTATACAGAAAACAACAAAAAACCCAACATCAAATCCTTCCTTTATAAATACTAATGGCCACATCATCTCAGATGCAGCCAGCCATCATTTTCCACCTAAATCCTTTATTACCAGAACAACGAGCACTTCAAATCAGCAACAGCAGCAGCTGACAACATGGCAATTACAGCATATTCTACTTGAGTCAGCATCAGGGTAAACATTAAGCAACTTGTTTTCTTCAAACAAAAGCAGCAGAGTATTCTCCTATGTCTGCACTTTGTACCAGAAGCGCAACACAAAAAAATCCCCCTTTCCTCACTCAGCCTCATCTGACAGCAGATTAGTCAGGAGCAGTAAGTGGCTGCTGGCAACGGCTCTACCTAAACAGAGGCTCAGAGTTACTGTTCCTTGTGTAATTAATGAAACTCCCTAAAAAAAATAGCACCATGCCAAGTTACCTGCAACCTAACTCCAGGGGATAAGACATGAGGTTTCCACATACAGCTGTTGCTCTCTATACACACCAGCTCTCTATACACGCCAGCACTCACACCCGCTCCATCCCCAGGAGCGCTCTGGTTGTCTCCTGCTCAGCACTCCCTGTCTATGTGGCAGGATCTCCTGCCTCTATAGGCCCCAGGTTTCTGACCATCCCTGGCCCCAGGCTCTCCCTGGGCACTCCCTTCCCTCTCTGATCCCTCTATGCCAGGAGCCCAACAAAACCACACCACAGTTTTCCTTCCCATCTCATTCCTCAGACTATGCATCTCCTCGCCCTTTCATCTTCCTCATCTCTACTCTTCCCTCTCCTTTGATTCCAAGGAACTGTTTTTAAAACTGCATTGAGATAATGAAAAAACATACCCTTTCTATCATTTCATCATAACATGCCTGCATTGTATTTACCCAATATCACTTTATTCCCCTGCCTCCTTCACTTGTCCAGAACATTTTGTAACATCATCTTACTCAAAAGCTTTCTTTGTAAGATGTAAAACACCAAACACCATGAGCTTAGTCAACAAGTGGAACTCATTAAAATGACTATGCAAAGCTGTCAGACACTTATTTGGGAATTACTTTATTAAAAATAAAATTTACATTGAAGCAAAGTCTTAAGTAATTTTTAGAAATAAAGACATTTTCAAGCATTCAGAAATAGCCATCCATTTTAACATAAATATATGTTAAATAAACATATATTTTTCAATAAGGCATTTGAGATGCTTCCTCTGCTAAAAAAAGGGAGGGGAAGGATACATTTACGAACACAAACCAAATCTGCTACCACTTTACTTACAGTTTACCAAAGATGGCAACACATTTTTAAATCTACAAACATTTTGTTGCTTTCATGCTATTGTTTAGCTACTTTCATGGCATCCTGTGAAAATTTCAGTGCATCTGGAAGGCATGAAAGGCAGGTGTTTACTGGCATTTCCAACAGCATCTTGCATTCTGGCAGACATTGACACAGTTGCACCTTCACATCAGTATTTTTAGCTTGTCACGCTATGCAGTGCTTGATTATAGGTATCATCAAAAACCACATCTCAAAGCACTATTTTGTAGAAGGATAGTTTTCAAAAGGTGACATTTTAAACTAAACCCAGCAGGCAAAACAAGCACAAGTATATACGATTCCACATACCAGGGAATTATATGAATTGTGCCTTCTTTGGAATCTGTAAAAAAATGAAAAATACTGAAGTGCTTTTCAAATGTGTCCTCATTGATTAAAAAGACAGGTATTTTATATAAGTGATTAGTTGCACACCAACATCATTATGTTGCTTAAAGAGGCATTTCAACAGAAAGATAAATATTATCAGCACTTAATTTTAGCTTTGCAATTAAGCATATATCATTAAGAATTTCCAGACAAAAATCCCAACTGTACAGAATCTATATACATAGGAAAAATACAGAGTTAAAGAAATAAATGCTTATTACTCCAATACTGTCAGCTTTTAGTGCAAGTTCACTAGCATTAGTACCAAACTCAACTTTTTATTGTGCTATGGGGTTTGCAAAAATTTCATATGAAGAAATATATCTTACAGTCTTTGCTAGGCATTACCTGGCTTTTAAAAGTGACAAAAACAGAGGTTAAAGCTGAAGAGTTGACTCTTCTTTTACAATTTAGGCTTAGTTTCTGCTATGGAATACCCACTTCCACTTTACAGTCAATTTCACATTCCAGTCTTGTAAACTTGACATTAGGAGGCTGCTAGTGTTTTCCAGATCTCCAGCAAGGGGAAAAAAGTTTGCTTAGAAGAGTACATATGTACTTCATCCAATACGAAATTCTGCTAGATCAAAAGGCATATAAAGACATTTAAGGATAATTAATAACAATTATTTAAAAGTTCATTGTTATACGTCCTCCAAAAGATCACTTTTGATATTTGAGGGATTTTTCAAATAAAACGCAAAATTGAGTGCCCTTTTCCGAAACACCCAACAACGGGGGTTTTTTTGCATGTGAAAAGAGTAAGGTACTGATACACTAATATTCTACGAACCACAGATCTTTTTGCTCCGTATGGAAGATAAAGCCTTTTATACTCAAACCTCCAGTTTGTCAGATTCCTCATATTCCATGCCTGAATGTGTAAGACCTACATCTGTACTGCCATATTGATGCCATATTTGAAGTAAGACTCCAGTTCTCAAAGCCAAACAGGTTGTGGGAGTACTGTCCACAGTGCCTGTAAATGAAAAATGCGAGCGCAAGCACCACCTTCAGGATTATGCACTTAAGAGTTTTCCTCAATGAGCAGGCTGTTGGTTTCATCCAGACTGCAGCCAGAGAACAAGATGCCACTGCTGACATGGGGAAAACCGCGAATGTGAAGTGGCAGCACAGATGTCGTCTTGAATATCTACTTGACACCAGAGAGAACAGACTCCTGCTGTTTCTTGTTAGAGAAATCCGCTCTCATTTGCCTTCTCAACCAAAACATCTGCATCCAGACACTGCACATTCCTTTCACATTAAAGAACATGGTATATTCAATGGTTCACTTGACCTCCAAGCCTGGGTTTTTAGAGTTGGTACCTGCTTGTTTCTAGTGAGCCCTGATAATCAAGAATGTTTGGATCCAGGAATCCAGACCGATTTGATCCAATCTACACCTATAGGTTACTTGCAAGACAGAATCCTCCAAGGTTAAAAGAAGTATCATTTAGTCATTTCCAAAAAGTATTTGTCATTATTTAAGCTCAGTTACGTTTCGTTACACAGAAAGTACTAGTACCCTCTCATTCATTAATCATTTTGGTATTACAGGATGTCATTCCATCATTTGTAAATTAAATGTTTACTTACTGCTTTTACCAAAACAACAATTACTATTTGCTAAAGTATTAGCAGATGTTTTGGACCATTCTCCCATAATTATTATTTGACAAACTGACAGTAATAGCTTATAGACAGAAGGGTTAAGCCCAGCAAGTTTTAATATCAAATTGCAAACTATGCTGTCAGTTCATTTGTGGAATGCAACAGCTGACACAAAAAAATCTTTTCTTTCCAGAAGTGCAAATGGATCATTCTCGCTGACTATGAAAGCCTATGCAGCTGGTGTTTTTCTGGAAAGACAGTAACAAAATAAGCTGGTAACAAAGCTGGATTTTAAAAGTGCAATATTTCTTTCTTTAATCTTTTTTGATGTTATATCATTTCTTCAAAGCTATTATATTGAACGGACATGGAGCTAAAGTTAGGCCAAACCTTCCCTCCATAGATGGCTTTGCAGCACTTTCAGGATACAAAAAGGTAAAACTTTGCATTAGACTTGCAAAAATTAAGAACAGCTCCATTTTTGCCAACTGCTCTCCCATGCACACACGTTTACCTAAAGAACAGTTAGAAGAGACGTATTACTGGTTTTATACAGTTGATCCATTTGTTAACACACATGCTAATTCCTGTGCTAGCATTGTCCAAACGCAGAAAGACTTACAGTACTATTAAGCTATGAACTCTGAAGCTTTGGTCTCCTGTATTTGAGCCTAAGCCTTGCTCAGCTGTACTGCTTCATATTAACAGCATTTACATCCACAGCAAAAGTATTATCAAACAACAATTCATCATTTCTCATTTCTGCCTGGCAGCTGGAGACTTTAGGAACTCATTTTGCAAGTCACCAACCGTAACAATAAAACAAGTTCTGTAGTTGATCATATACACAACTTTTTCATCTCACACCTCCAGGGCCCTACGCTTCAAACAACGCTGCCACCACCCCCAGCCAGCTACTGACTGCACGTGGATATCTTACCCATTCCAAAAGGAATGAATGCCTCTTTCTTAATTAGCTGGCCGTTTTCATCCAGAAATCTCGATGGTTGAAATTCATCTGGTTTCTCCCAAATGTTAGGATCTCTGTGTACTGACCACAAGTTGGGTATGATCACACTGCCCTTAGGAATAATATATCCCTGCAGCACTTCAAACAAAAGAACAGAGACAGAAGATCTGACAAGTTGCAAGAAGTAAACATGAGAGACTTGGACTTATTAAAAAGAAGACTAGATGTCACAAAAATGACATGGATCCCTAGCTGTGGGCTGCAAACGTAGCAGGAGCTTAAGGCAAAGGTGATCTCTGCAAGCCTGCCTGGCTCAGAATCACGCAGGCCAGAGCAGCTGGAAAGACATCAAGTTACATCAACAGCTCCCTGCAGGGAAAGGGCAGCAGCAATCGGTAGAAATGCACTCTGCTGTGTGGAAGTGCCATGACCCAGTTTCCTCCTGTTCCTGTGCTGTCACAGAGCCCCACCATAGCAAAGGAGGAGGTACGGAAGAGGGATGGGTTTTGTGCTGTTATCACAAATGGGTTTTGAAGTGACTAGTCTCATTTCAGCTTGTTGCACCTCGCTTTCTTGCGAGCCAAACCATTTAAAAAGCAGATCAGTTCAGTACCGGGTTTGAAAGCCAAGTATTGCTACCTCCCACTCACTTTAACCAGTGTTCAGTGACGATTATGAAAACATATAGCCAACAAGATGACTTGGGAAAGGATATTTATTAGCATTTTCTGTAGATGTGGAGCTCAATGGTATAAGGCTTTCAAGCTTTAGCAAACCAACTACTCCGAATTGATGTTTTCAAGCTTCTGTGTCAGATGGCCAAAACCAGATGCTGTTTCAGGTACAAAGGTGGAGTCTCAGCTGCCAAATACCGCTAAGCACATCACTCAGCACAAGCTGACCCCCAGAAAAGAAATCGCTCTAAATTAGAAAACTTCTGGACATTAGGTCAGACATGCTGCTTAAGTAAAAGAGCATCTCAAGCCCATCTACTTTCTATAAATGGCATTTTACATACTTAGGTTACATGTCTAATACATGAGCTCTTTGTAAATTCTCACTAGATATCCCATCAGATCTTTATCCACAAAAGAAACGCTGTATTAAGAAGTTTCTACAAATGCTTACCAGCAGTTTCTGAGGCCATACGAGGAATAGAAAGGGGAACAACCGCAGTCATCCTCTGCACTTCCATAATGGTTGCCTCTGTGAAGGGCATTTGAGCCTTGTGGGTAAGAGAGGGAACTTTGTCACGTCCTAGAACTGCTTCAATTTCTGCATGAACCTTCTCTATTCAAAGAGAGTGAGGAAAATAAAAAAAATAGGAAATATGCACAAAACATAAGATACCATCTCAATTTCATTTGCCTATGCTTCATTGTTTACATAGATTTGTCAAAAATGACTGCAAGACATGTGATCCCTGGCTAAAGTAACTACAGCAACATAAACCTTAAGAACGGACTCAGTTAAGAATAAAACAACCAAGCACAATCTTGTCAACTGTCAAGAGTAAAGCTACTGAGATGACAGACATTGCTGACACTTCTGTATTGAAAGAGTACAGGAAAATTGCTGTTCCAGTTCTAAATGTATTCATAATCTTAGTTTAAGAGTTTCACTATATGGTTATTTGAACGGTGCAAACATCAAGCTTCTGGCCTGCATTAAAAAAACCAACCAACCAACCAGAGACTGCACTGCCTGAGCTGGCCTGTCCCTGGGGAGATCCAGTTCTCAGCACTGGGAAAGGTGGGAAAGAGGTGGGAAAAAACCTTTTCATGCAGCTCCTTTAGATATTCCATACTGAAGCAGGAGTTCTGGTGCTGTTACTACAAGTGTTGAAGCCATTTAACTTATTCTTGCTGTTTCCTACTTTCTATTCACAGAACCTAATCTCAGCTGTTTCCTAGTTCCCCAAAAAGCAGCATATGTTCCTTCCCCCACACAGCCCTTCTGCAAAGGGAAAACAGAAGTGAACAAGCTTATCTCCCCTCTCACTCATGTGAGACAGTGTCAAAATATTTGTTTGCCCCTTTCATCTAGCTAAAGGCTCAGCATACAAGCAATTCTCTTCATTGAAGTTTACCAGATACAAGATTTGCTTCACCCATGCACAGGATGATGCTTTTCTTCCAGGTAACTTGGAATCTGGCTACACGCAAAAGACAATCTTAAGACAGGAGATCTCAAAATTAACATTTAATCAAAAATAATAAAAGTTTTGATTTTTCTACCCTTGATATCCTGAATATTTTGTGGTTGTCCTGCTTGCCTTTTCCAAGATTCAGAATCCATGCTGCTGGTACTCTGAGTTTTTGCTCTTTTCTCTCCTTAGCATTGAATTAAGATTAAATAAAAGCTCAATGCAAAAAAAGTGTCTCAGCAGCATTCAGAAATACTGCATGAATTGTGTTCAACAGTTGCTGCCACCTACTGGGATTGGTAGGAAAACAAGTTCTCAAATGAGGCACACAGAGTAAAAGATACTTTGACACCAAGAGATCTGCTAATGGTGTGGCTCTTGAGTACCTGGTTTGTGGGGTTTAGCTATTTTTTATTTTAATGATGCATTATGGTCCTGTATTCAGGTATGCATGTCCACAGTAATTTAAGCAAGTAAAATTTTCAAAATAAAAAAAAAATTTAAAAATTAAGTAGACTGGCTCACATCAAATGTCATGCCAGTATTTTATCCTGAACATTTCTTAGGAGTTTGTAAAAATATGTGGAACTATACAGAAAGAAGCCAAACTGCTGCTCACATTACCAACTGCAAAAACGGAGACTTTGAGAATTCTCCGCTAACAGCATGCTACTTGAACTGCTCCCACTGCATTTCATATATTTAAAAATCTCACAGATCTTCAGAAGTCAAGGACCAAAACCAAGTCCAGGAACAGATCAAACCAAATACTCCCCACTGCCTCCCTATATGAGCACACGCAGACATATGCACACCCACATGCCTCTTTTTCCACGGAACAAGCAAAACTGGCTTCTACAGACAAACACATTCTTTCTGATTTTTCACTCTGATAGCCTTTCATTTGCCTTTCCAGAAAGTGTCTGCAACATTTGATACTGCTAAAAAAGTTACGCAATTCAGGTATTTCCTTTAGGGGGTAAGAGAAACATATTACCAGGAGAAAAAACAAACAAACAAACGAGATCCATACATGACTGCCAGGCAATCAGGATACTTCTATTATCTCATTCCTTATGTAAGGGAATTACATTGCATAGCTAAGTGACACACTCTGGACTACTGAGCTTATTTATATTGTTTGACAACAGCCACAGCATAAGGAAAGGAGGAATCAGAGAAAGGCAATAAAACTGATAGAGATCAGCAGAAGAGAGAAAACTGACTGGCACATACATGTACAGTACCAGGCAGTAGGG